ACACATATATACACGTTTCAAGAACATTTGGTTTAAAGTCCTTTATGGACTAGATTTCCTATAGACAGTCTAGCTCGCTGGAGACAAAACTATTGTTGCATGCGTACGGGTTCGTAATAGAATGAACGCACACAGGTCCATTGATGGGTTAATAAAATTTATTTTATCGACAGAAATACTTCAAAGTTCTGGAATTTTCCACAGAAATGCTCGTACAGGTGTTTACAGTATCACAGAGTACAATCAGCAGTTACGCTTCAAATTGCTGACAGCGTTAAACACAAATCAATGCAAAGCGCATCTAAAAAGAAAGCTAACTCGGAAATATCTTCTTTTTCACACTGAACTATTAACTCGCAACAATAACAACAGCAGCTAACTAAACAACTCAGAGCAGATGCTCTCTCTCCGGCCGTATATTGTTTTCAACCGCCCGCCGAGATATTTCTAGTACTTCCTGCTTCTCAAAATTACTGGAAAACAATATGAGGTTCGAATTACGATTGCAGCTAATATAATAATGTACATTTATTCAGTTATAATACTTATTATGGTGATACAGGGACGGAACCTAAATGTCACCAAATGGGCGTCAAGTTTGGCGACTTTTGGCTGTTTCTCGCCAAATTTGGAGACAAAATAGATTACTAAAACCATTGACAGCTTGGCGATATCTCGCCAAATTATCGAGATACCCATTTACTCAATGTTAAACGCACTTGCCCTGTAATCTTACTTTTCCGGCATAGCTTGTCTCTTTCAAATTTTTCTTATGTTACATTACGCAGCAAAATACAACAATTTCACGTATGATTGCACCAAAATCATCTATCTACATACAAAATTCGTAACAAAATTTTATCCCTTACAGTGGTTGTCACTGCTCGCTTGGAAATAGTTGAGTTTCTTAACCGTTTGAGTCCGGCGAAGCGCTGTCGCGATTCACTTGTCGTATGCCAAAAATACGGCGCAGCGCGATAGCGCTTATATTGTTTTGTATTGAGAATGCGAAGACGCTGCTGTTGGTTAGTATACTTGAAAAAAATTATTGAAAATTGAAAAAAAATTATTGAAATATTCAATTGGTTTCGCATCAGGAGGAGGAAAATGCTTTGGTCCAGGTACTTCAAAAAAAGTATTCGATTCGTTCGAAAAAATTGCATCCACGGGTAAAAACTCATCAATAATATCGTCATCGGAGGTGCTTGCAGTTACTTCATCATCATCACTGCTATCACTAATAACTCGTAATTTCTTAGAACGAATGATGATGTCACTTCCACTATCACTTTCAAGGTCATTACTATACTCTTCATTATCACTTCTCATAACATAGTCACTTTCAAGTGAATCCGAACTTGACGTGGGTTATTTCGTAATTATCAGTATAACACTTGGTAAAAAAAATGAAAACAATTTCCAATTCCTATAAAACAACTGTTACTGATATCACTACAACTGCTCTCAATAATTGCGTAAAGTATACTAACCAACAGCAGCGTCTTCGCATTCTCGATTCTCTGCACCGTATTTTTGGCATACGACAAATGAAGTGCGATAGCGCTTCGCCGGACTCAAACGGTTAATCAAAAATTCGCTAAAGTTTAAAAAGCCTGAAATAGAAAATAAAACAAATTCGAAATTCAAGATTCGGGCCTTCAGGTGCCCATATTCGGATGGGGGACTACGTTATTCAAAATTTGATGGCTCTAGGTAGTTTTTTTACAATACGAGAAACATACATACATTCATGTAGATTTTTCATTATTTAATTCCTTTAAATATAATACAGGGCGATAATATTTGGTGGCAACAATTTGAAAGTGATACAGCCGTTTGTAGCGATTCGACGCAAAATGCAGTTTCGAGACTAATAACCCTTAAAAAATAGCAGAGGAAAGCAAGCAGTATTTTGTGTTATACACTCCAAGTTGTTTTGATATGTATCACTCAGTGCAAAATTTATCATAAAACAAATTTAGAGTGTATATGTGTATAAAACTGGTGTAAGTAAAATTCTTCAGGCAGTTTTTCATAACGCAGTTTCGATCCGCGTCAGGCAATAGAGTAACATTTATGAACGCTCATCTGTGAGATGGTTGCCAGCGCAATGTGTTAATTTGTTCCTAGCATCATACACAGATTTAAAAATCATTATCAAAGTGATCACATACTTTCCAAGTGGCATAGGCACGTTTGAAAATTACATTAGTAGTGTCCAATGACCGTTTGCCGCATCAACGTGTAAAAGTGTCTTAGGCCTTAAATAGCTCCCACAGCTGACTTTAGACCTCTTTGGCTCCACCTGAAAAATCAATATCTCAGCAATCAGCGCCTAGTAAATTTCAAAAGGCTGGACTGCAAAGAGACAAGTTGTGCTGGATTGTTAGAAACGAGCTTAACTGATCTAGTTCCATAAATATTGCGGATAGAATCTAAACCATTGGAATAAAATGATATTTACCGAATAATAACTACTTAATTTCCAGAATTACTTTTGATGACATTTGTTAAGGAAAAAAAATGTTTACACAGTTCGCTATGAACAGCCTAAAAAATGTTTTCGCATAGAAGACTGTTTTCTATACGGGCAAGTAATGGCCTTATTGATCTTCGAGTGTTTCCTTTTATTAACTGCTAACCGTTATCTAAGCATAAACTGTATTACTCTTCAGCACTTCTAGTGACCAGTCTTATCTATAGCCCGCCCACCAGCGGCCGAGTGGTAAAGTCGCTGAACCCTGGTAGTTCGGTCCGAGGTTCGAATCCCGCGAAAGGGCTGGCTGCATGGGTGTTTTCGTGGTTTTACCCATGTGTAACGTGTATACAAGTCAGTTTCCCTTAGAAAGTCCTCCACGAAGGTATCCCTCCTCTTAGGCAGATATCCCTCGAGGCTTTGCCGTAATTAAATAACCTAACCTAACATTATCTATAGCCCATCTTTACGGTGAGTCTTCTGCTATAGGTCAAGTCTATGAATTTGAATCCGAAAATCTTCGTCGGTAAATTAAGAAATCTCCTTGAGTAAAATTCTCTTCGCGATATAGAATCGTTATTATATACCAAAAATCGTCAATATCTATACAGTTCAATGAAGATAGCTAAACTATGCACATAATTGTATATTAGAGGATATAGTAATATACAAAATTATGTATGACGTTCTATAAGCCCATCGTCATAGGAAGTTTGCCACAATTTGCTCGTAATGACATCTCTTGTTTACAAGTCACAGTCTGAGTTGGACTTAATACATGCATTTTGTAATGTGCATGCACGCATTTGTGTTAAAGCTGGATCTATTCCATGAAAAGCGTACCTTAAATGACGTGAGTTAATTCTTATATGACACTTGCCGGGCTGGCATTCAAGCATTAAAGGAGGTGCAAACTGCTTTCTAGCAATGACACTTGATATACTAATTTCGAGCAACATAACTCCGTCATAATTAAAGGAAAGAATATATAAAATTTTCATAATTTTTATTGACTTCAGTTAAAGTTCTCATCCAGATGTTAAAACAGAAAAATAAATTGTTCTTTCATAATGAGAAAAAAAAATTAAGATGTATTGAAAAGTGATTTCTGTTTTCGAATATCTTACTCACAAACCAGACATAAAGAGTAAAAGAAACCATTTGTCATTCACAATAGAATTTAGTCTTGCATTTTTCCTGTTCTGCGTCTGTTTTATCTGTAAAGCTACATCGGATATTATTATCTACGGGGTTATATACTGTGCTAGTCACATTATAATTTATTGATTATAATAAGATTAATTATGTAAATGAGAGAAAACTAGGTAAGTAATGTGGCAAAATTTGGCTAAAGAAATTTGCTGCTATTTGATATCAGCACTTTTTACAAACTATTTGTTGTTGTGCCGTGACTTATATCACTTGTCTGACGGTAACATCAGAACAAGCCCACGAAATTCATCGTGACAAGGAGCGCAAAATTGCGCCTGTCGTATACCTTGAGCACTACACAAGCGACAATACGACTTCGCTCAATTCTGCCCCTAATTTTGATGGAGAGCACCCCGTGGGGGACAGGTTCGAGGGTCTTCCGCTCCCTCTTCGCCTATCACCCTCCCGTGAAAGGAGTTTCGACTTGCCGCATATTTAGAGTACTCCCATGCCGTATGGACACTGTACATTTACAAACATCCATGCCATCTCCGGGATTTGAACCTGGGCCCTTCGGTACCGCAGTAGGCTCCCCTAACCACTATGGCGTCTGGGCGACATAAACTATTTAGCTGATGTCGATCGGTCTAGCGATTTTGTCTCCTAATTACCACTTATTTCAGAGCCATCAACGTATTTCGTTTTGTTGTTCACAAATGTAAAGCAAAATGCAGAGAATGTGTTGGGGATAAAAACTTCTTTTCAAACACAACTACATGCATTTTTTTAATATTTAAATTCCCTTTAATTACACGTATGTTGCATATATATTTAAGGCAAAACACTTTGTCTCACCTAGTTCTAAAACCTTAACAAAAAAGAGAAGCGAAAAATTACATAAAATAATTCTGTGTTCAAAAATCGCTGATAAAATCCACGATAACTGAAAGAGTATGGAAATGTTTCGTCATTCTTGTTGAGTTGTTCCAAAATCTGTCAAAGAGGCGTTATCGAGAGTTGGTAGATCGGAAATTATGATCATGTTTACTTAAAGAAGTGCCGATTTTTTGTTTTTAATTTCACAACTCAGTTGACTCTGAAAATCATTCACATTCCATAATATAGAAGTTACGAAAATTATCGCTGACTTCCCACAGCGGAATAAGTTGAGCAACTGTGTTACCTTAATTCTATACAATAATGCACTTATCTTAGTTTCATCGTAGATTGCAAGTTTTCATTTCGGAGTTAAAAATAAACACAACTGCAGAAAAATGAAAGGCTGAGGAATGATGCATTGCGCTTTCACGTGCAAAAATAAAATACTGAGATAGTTTCTTTCTTCGCGACAACAGATTCTAAAAACACCAGTTTGAGATATAATCTTCAAAGTGTTTCACTGCTACTAAGTAATTGAAAAGACATCTGTATAATATTTGTCACTGTGACATTTTAAATCATGGTTTCCTGAAGGGATAATTATTATTTCTCATGAATTCTTCTAATTTAGAAAAATATCAGATTCTCAGATCTCTTAACGTTACTTCTTCATAACACATTTCTGAACATTGAAAAAATAACAATCTGTTATAATTATTATGCGAATAATTGGAGTAATGAATTCTGATGGTCATTTTAAAATTCATTGGGTAAGTTATTTTAATTACTTTAATTTCAAACTTTATTATAAATTTCTAATGTAGGAAAAAATAAGTGAATTTCTAGCAGAATTAGCAATTCGTTTAGGATTGAAACATCCGGCAGTGGAAGAAGATACTAACTACATCAAGATTCCTTTTCGAAATTCACTAGTTAGTTTTTTGTGTTTTTGCTAACCTGTTAACTTTTAAGCTTGCGCAGTTCTGATACAGTCATTTCCTTAGGTTGCTGTCGAACTGAGCTACAAGAAGTTAATTTGTGAGTACTACGGGTCACGTAGAACAGGATAAGTTACCCTAAAGTATGTTTGATTTAATACCAGGTTATAAAATAGCATTAAAATAACTCAATAGTCAAGTAGGAATCGTCTAAAGTTTTAAATTAATTCTACTTTTAAATTTCTGTTATTATGGTAAATAGCTATGTGAACATTTCAGATGACATATTCCAGAGTTTTCTTGCATATTTAAGTACGTAAGACACAAGCTATTATTTAAACTTATATGACTGAAGTAGCTGTTGCACATGTAGCAATAACTTGCTAAAATACAAAGAAAGATTCAAGTCAGCGGGTTCACTTCTTTCAGGCTCCTAGTCGTAAGTCCTAGGAGTAATACATGTCTAGTAAATACATGTCTTCATTACAGCTATCATTGCAAAAAATGGCAGAAAGGAGAAAAGACCTGCACATGATCTCATGATGTGTTTGAAAAAGTCGTCTCGTGTGAAAGTAGTCTCATTTGAAGTTACCAAGTGAATATAATTGTCATGTGAAACAAATTTTGTCAGTCTGGAGTAGAAAGTCCGAGTAATCTTGACGAAAGTTGATAGCAATAAATTCATTAAAGTTGTCAATACTGACATTTCTAGCCTTTTTTTTAAGAAATAAACGCTTCTTTTGGTCAAATATATAAATTCTAACATCAGTAAATAACTGTTGAAATACATTTTTCTCCAAAATTTAAAGGGCAAAGTTTACGCTGTTTACACATTTTAAATGCTTTTAACTTCTTTAAAAATTAGAATATTTGAACGCGGTTTTTTGCATATGATGTAGTTACGTATGTGGAATATTACCAGAGTAAAAAAACAAATTCGATATATTGGTTGCGTTTTAGCTATTTTAAAGTCCACCGTCCCCTTAAACTAAACATACATTTAGGAAACGATACTTTTAAAAACTAAATAATGGTAAATGAGATGATACGCGAGAATAGATCTGAGAACCAACCATCTGAGGATAAATCTATAAAAGTGAAGAGGCAGCATTCATGACCCATCTTCTACACGCTTTTCTGAACATCCGGGCTGTGTAAAATCAGGACAACACATGAAGTGTGAATTAAGCTTTTAGCTTCAAGCCAGAAATCAAGAGTTCAATACATGAATGGCCAAAACAAAGAAGAATAAATTGGATGAACTTTGGTTGTTTATCCTTATTATGTTATTATGGCTTAGATGGATATTTCTGTTATTGGAGTAACTAAACCTCATTTTTAGCTGGAGATAACATTTATAAATCCCTGTTAGTGGATGTTGAATCATTCTTTTGCTATATTACGATATTATTTCCTGTGGTAGTATCTGAAACGAAACTAAACGAGCTATGTGAACATTTCAGAAGTTTTTTCCTTTTAACTTCTTCACTCATGTGAATTCTGTAAACAGGAAACTCATCCTGATATAGACCATCCTGTAGTAGCAGAGAGAGGCGAGGCAGACAGAGAAACTCATCCTGTAGTGTGAATTCTGTAAACAGCAAACTATATAAAAGTAAGGTTTTTCCTTTTTAACTTCTTCACTCATGTGAATTCTGTAAACAACAAACTCATATCTTTTTTAAAAAACCTCGAATTAATATAAACGATAGAAAATTTCACTGTAAGAATTCGTTAAAAAATTGATCAAGAGTTTATAACGTTGCGCGCCTCTAACTTGCACGCAACCAAGAGGTGACTGTGAAAGCTTGTAAAAACCACAGAGTCTTATAAAGGGTTTAAGTCCCTTTTTATTCAACGTAATAAATTACAATTGCGTCTCTTGACGCTTACAGACTGTGCCAACTAGGCAGTCAAATAAAATAATAACCTGAAAAAGAAAGTAAAGACAAGATTCTAACTACGAGGCTCTCTAAAATAACTAACTCACCGCGTTTTACAAATACCGCTGCTAATTCAGCAGACTTGAAGCTCACTGGAACAATTGCAACTACTTCCCGCCAAGCACATAGGCCGCAACGCGGGGTTCTTCAATTCTCGATAACTACCTCCGCGCTCGCTAAGTAAGAATAACTCTCTCACCGAACTCGTTTCCTTCTATTTAAATCATACTACTTCCGCTGATAATTTGAATGCTTGCGCGTTCTACTCAAATTTACATATTCTGGCATTGGCAGTTCCAGGGGAAAGTAAGGCTTGACAGGAAAGATAGTTTAAACTTAAAATAAATGTTAGTTAAAATAAATATAAACCCTACATTTGCCGCTGCCAGAATTTGGAAAACTTGGAAGCAGGTCCTACAAACGACCTGTTGTAAGTTTATCTAATTCTGAACTAACTGGCGAGAAGCCTCGTTTACACAAAAAAATCTTATGTAACAATTATATATAAAATTCTGTTATTCGTTACAAAGCTTTCTTCTTACAGCAACTTTTCCTGGACTTCATCAATCAATCTTGGTCTTTCCTTCCAGCATCTGGAAGGAATAAGTATCAGTATCTTTCTACATACATTATAATTTACACTTTCTTGACACAATAAATTTTTGTTTTTAAACGATTCGTTTTTCTTAGTTATTGCTTACTTCACATTCATTCAATTTTTCAAGCATTAATTTAACTTTACCCTGGCTCTCCACCGTGTGTGGTGTCAAACGGGAATATTCGTGTTTTAGTCTTACAACACTTCCCCTAACCACCATGATTTGTTAGAATTCAACAACCAAATAGACACACCTTACTCGACATTCTACAACTCAATGAGCTACTTTAATATTCTTAAAAATTCAAATGTAGGTGGAGAACCCTACAAAACACATTCATTCTAACTTCCCCCTCATTCATCTTTAAACATGCAGGCTTTCGCTCTAAAGCATGACTTTATCTACAATTTAATACTTAAATTTTGACTTCATTGCTTTTAAGCATTCACTTTTAGCATCTACAATTTTATGCTTCTAGACTAAATTCTACTTTTACATAACATTCAAGTATTTACATACATTTACAAAATTTTTAATACATATGCTTTTTTACAATTTACCATAAAATGAATAAGAGAAAATAAATTTTTACTTTACTCATTCTTCGCCAAGCTGGCGGCACTGAAACTAAAATTCTTATTAGTACAAGAATACGAAGTTATTTTTATCTCCGGCCAAATTTTGGCTTTAACATAACAGAATTAGTCTTTCGACCAACAGAAAATGCTTGTTTTTAGCTTTTACACTTAAAGAAAATAATACTTTTGCCTTAGCTAAATAAAGTAAAACAAAACTAAGTCTCAACCGAGACATATTGACTTTCGTCAAAACATAGAACTTCGTACTTATGCATAACATTTCGGAACAAAAGAGAAAAAAATTTATAGAAGGTTTTAACTTATCTTTGAGTTTTCGATGCTTGAAACTCCGTCATCCGTTTTTGGCAAAATTGATCCCAAGTTAGAGGTTTCATGGATGTCAATCTTCTCCTTATTGATCTCCGAGTGTCGTCCCCGTTGCTCTTTCTTTTGCGTCCTCTACATGCTGGCCTCTTGACGGAGTAATCGTCTGGTTGTTGGCCTTTGCGTTTCTGCCTGGGACGGCTGGTCTTGACGTCCTCCGGTCTGGAGTCCTTCTTGAATTTCTTCTGTTCCTCGTATTTTTGTGCCTCCTGTTGGCGTTTCAGTTTCCGGAACGGCGGCCTTGCTGGCACCTGACTCTGTGGCCGTGTGCGCGTTCTCCTTGATGTGTAATTTCTCCTGCCATCCTTTGTAGGTAGGTGTTTTTTCTCTTTACCACGGTTTCTTTACCCGGTTCATCTGTATTTTTGTTTTTCTTAAACGCCGGAGTTTGAAAATCATTTTTTCTTTTTGATACCGACGTCCGGGTTGTAGAAGTGCTAGGTCTCTCTTCAGTTCTCTGTTTCTTGGGTGGTGGAATAGTTGTTGCAGTCTCTGGCCCTTCTATTTCGTTTAGACTTGAGTCCTGCAAGAAACTTTTAAGGATTTCAAAATCATTTGGATTATAGTATTTTTTCACCTGGTCGGGACTTGCTTTACAGATTTCCCCTCTCTCGTTTTTAAGATATAAGACTACTCCTTTGATTTCCTGAATTACATAGGGGCCTTCAAACTTTGGAGCTAGCTTTGCCATAAAATTGTCTGGGGCACTTGATAAAGAAAATTTCCGCTTCAATACTTTATCCCCAACTTTAAAATCTGCTTCACGGCGTTTTCTATCGTAATATACTTTTTGCCTATTTCTTGCCGTATCCGAGGTTTTAAGCGCCTGATCAATCAGTTTTTGCACATCTTTTGTTTAAACTCCTGCTCTCTTTGTTGCACAAAGAATAATTTATCTAAAGGCGTAATTAACTTTCTGCCTAAAAATAATTCTGCTGGAGTTTTTCCCGTAGTATCATGATGTGCCGTTCTTAAAGCATAAGCTAATTCATTTATGTAGCCATCCCAGCGCTTGTGATGTGTGCTCACGTAACTGCGAATTATTTTTACTATGTTTTTATTAACTCTTTCTGCTATGTTAGCCTGTGGTCTATACGGAACCATTTTGATATGGCGTATGCCAAGTCCATTGCATATGTTTTCAAATATTTGACTAATGAATTGTTTTCCGTTATCGCTAATGACTTTTATCGGTGCACCGTATTTTAAAATGTATCTGTGTAAGAATGCATCTGCGACTGTTTTGGCTGACGCGCGTTTAAGTGGAACAATTTCTATCCATTTTGAAAAATGATCTACTATTACTAAAAGAAAACGATTTTTATTTA